CAAATAATTGTAAAGAAAATTCAGAAATCTGAGAATGTTGAATTAGTAGGAATTGAAGAAATATGTAATTTAATTATTGCATTATTTATTTATTTTATACTTCAATTGAGTTTAAACAAGTTTTTTTTTACATATAAAAATTATAAAATTACTGAATTTAATAAGTATTTAATATTTATTTTAAATTTAATGAAGAAATACTTTGTAATTTCATCATAAATTTTGACTTGTATTCATTGTATCACATGTTTTGCATTTAAATATATAATGAAATTAAGAAAACATAATTTGCATTTCATAATAATTATCACTTTTATTTACTTATTTTTCAAACCAGATTCCAAATCAAATAAATCAAAAAAAAAACTATGTGCATTTTAATGTTCCCATAATAACAACTTTTACTACTAAGAGAAAAATACGATATATTTTGAATAATTATTTTCATAATTTTGTTTGCATATATTTATTAAATCTGACATTTACTATTTTTAGTAAAATATGATAAAAATGTTCAAAGGTTATAGAGTTAACTTCTGATAATAATGATCGCAATTATCCGATAACAGTAAAAGAGGAAAATAACATCAAAACAATTAAAAATGAATTTATCGATTAGAACAATCAATATTTGTCAAAAATGCTGAGGAAGAGGATGTTAGAAATTCATTGAAAGTAGCAGATGATGGTTTTTCAGTGACAGATTTAGAAAAGTTTGCAAGCATATAAAACGAAGACAATGAAAATGAAGAAATTAAAGAAGTGTCTGTCGAAAAAATGTGAAAACCAATGATTTAAAAATGAAATCTAAATCGTTTGAAAAGAGTTTTTTTTAGTGAAACAGATCCTAATTTAAGAAGAAATGTTATTGTTAAGCGCTCAGTTTTACATGTAACCATTATATATAGCCAAATGTTAAATGAAAGAGAAAAAAGTACACCTATCTTTTGACTCATATTTTAATTCTTTTTTTTGTATGTAAGTCGTTGATTTAGTCAAACTCTTATTTATTCTTGAGAATAATATTTATACCTCTGAAATCGAACCTCTGAAATATAAGAGAAATTTGAGATTTTACATTTGAAATCATAATTTAAATATTATTAAACTTTAGTTGACATTTTATTGTCATCTAGATTATGGTGTAACTTGATGTAATCGCTAATTTCTTCTCAGTAAATTTACATAATATCATATTTAGAATAGTAAATATATGATAAATTTCATCATTTGAACAGAAATATGGAATCGTGCCATTTGCTCCGCTTCAATACAGTAAATCTTGGGAGAACTTTAGTTATGCTAAACACACTTTGGATGAGTTCTTCGAAGATGTAACTTTCAAGATCGAAGAAGTTGTCACCATGTACGGATTCGAAGGCTACACCACTAGTAAATAATGAAGATTACTAATCATCAATTAACTCAATAACTTTACTTTTATTCATAGACGTGTCAGTCACGGAACGTCTGATGTTGACGTTTGGGAAGTGCTTCGTATTAACAGCGAAGAATCACTCCAGTAACTGGAACAAGTATTCCGGATACAGCGTCAATCTGTTTCACAACAATGATTATCGAATCATAGATACGACGATCAAATCTGTGAAGAATATGGTCCCCGGATACCATGTGTATATTCACAATTCGAATGATATAGTTGCAGGTGATGTTCTTGTCTATAGTCTACTACGCGTATTGCTCATATATTTTAGCCTTTTTCAGATCAGGAAACGCAATTCGATAGCTTAATGGAAGACATCTATTTGGAACCAGGAAGCGATTTAGGCTTTTCTTTAAGAGTTAGCCAATACAGTTACTTGCCAGGCAGCAGGACAAATTGCATCAAAAACAAAAACTACAGCAAGTCCAAAGTAAATATTATATAATTAATAATAAGCTGATACATTTTATCCTTTTGGTAGTTAATTAGTTACTATTATTAGTATACAACCCAAAACCAGTAATAAATTCAAATATATTAATACATCCCATAGTACAGATAACAATCAACGAATTTTAGTTATTAACCATTGATATTACAATCATTTTGGTAACTGTGAAATAAAAGATTATTGTTATAATATCAAGATGATTATTATAATATCATCAATTATTACAATATAAATTAAATATAATAGATTTTACTAACTTTTTTTACTAATTACAGTGTAAGCAAAAATGCATTAATCAGTATGTTACGGAAAAAATCGGCTGCAGTACACCTTGGATGGATAATCCGAGGCAGCCTAGATGCAACAGCTACGAGAAGGTAAAATCATTGATGATGTTGACCTCATCAACTAGGTATGAGCATGAATTAAAGTTTATAATATTTTCGTTTAATTTAATTGTAATTGTTGAGTTCAGCAACGAGGAGTTCGAGAAGATATGCAAATGTCCCACGTCCTGTTATATTACTAGCTATATACCGTACGTGCAGAGCAACAAGGAGCTGCCATCTGAAATCAGCGGACTGTATCTGTACTACGCCACAAATCTAGTTACGATCATGGACGAGGTGATCGGCTACGATTGGAACTTATTCCTGGCCGATTTGGGCGGCTCTCTGGGATTCCTGTTGGGTCTAAGCGTGCTCGGCATCATCGGAGTCTTCGAGCAGGTGTTCAAGATCATCGTATTGAGGAAACCTAAGGACGAGGTCCTGAACAACGTTGAAAAGGGTCAGGAGCAAACGCCGCAGAAGAAGATTGAGATATACTTGAACGGAGAACCGATCGATGATGGCCATGACTATGGGTATTACGAGAAGAGCGGGAACATCAAATATTAGTTCTCTTGGTTGCATACACGTATCAATTATCTGACAATATATAAATGTAATCTATAAATGATTTATTGGCGTGACGTCGGAGAGCACTGAAATAGAATAGTTTGTTGCTAAAATTAAACAGGGCGTTTCTTTTATTTCAATCGACACTATATGTATTTCGACTGTTCGAAATGTCAGGTGTTGTTGATTTACGGCATCTAGATGTCGCCAGTTGTTTTGTTAATTATGTTTTGTTCTTAGCATTGCCGTTGATCCATCGTCCGTATATCGCAAAGTGGATGGATTTTGCAGGAATTTCGGTTGTTCGGGTACGTCGATTACGTAACGATGCGATGCTGCGATGATCTCGTTTAGGTATAAAATTTCGATCGGCATAAGAAGAGGATTCTCGCGGCGAGAGTAGTGAAAAGTCGTTCGTTTTGGGTGCGCAGGCATTCCGAGCTTAATAAGGTGGTGGCAGTGGGCTAGTGGTGAGCAGAGGATGGATTTAGGCGTCGCGACGCGGGTGCGAGGCAGACGGCCAAACCGGGGGGACGGAGATAGGTGTTCCTAAACTAGGTTTCTGTGTGTGTGTTGTTCTATTCGCGGCCCACGACTCTCGCTCAGTTACACACAAATTTTGCTTTCACGGTCGCCGCCTTCCAAAATACATTTTCATACACATCGAGCGAACGAAACGAAGCAACCAGATGCTGTATCCCGAGATGAGCAGAGCGGAGCTGTGCTACTGGGCCAGAGAAGAGATGGAACATAAAAAAAATAAATAGAAAAAAAAGCGAAATCGGAGAAGAAATCACTTCAAGACCCGCTTATTATTGCTTTCGTCCGGCTCCTCTATACACTGCTGTCTGTCTCCGTCACACTTTGTTGTTCGGTTAAAAATAATCGGGGCTTTATTTAAAAATCGCAGAAGAAAATAACCACTCGGATCGGTGGCGTTCGCGCATCTCTCCTAGTTCCCATTTGTTATGTCAGCACACCTTTGATACCACTGGAAACGCATACGAAGGAAACCTGGATCTGGGTCTGGATTGTATGTCACTTAGGTCATCGCAAAAGCTACCATATCCAAATCTATAAATAGATTTCGAACTATTACAACCATCCACTGTTTCCTTTTAAACAGATGTCTTGTCTGAAATACAATCTAGTATTTACTTTTCATTAAATGAACAATTACATCTTGTTAGAACAATTTATTTAATTTAAGGAAATTATATTCATTTATCAATTGTAATTTACTCACAATTAAAATTACTACCATCATTTTATCATATATTTTGAATACAATCTTTAACTTTCTATTTAAAAACCTAAAATTATACATACTTCTTTTTGGTAATTGTTACTGGAAAAGACTTTTTTATACTTGTAATTAAAGTAAGAAAATGATGTACTTTTATTATTTACATTTATTGCACATTTTATCCCTATAAAAAAAATTACTCCTTTCCTATTTTAGCTTTTTAAAAGATGTTTCGTAATATAATCATCTCTATAATAGTTTATCAACTTAATTTAGTATAAGAAATTTTTCTCTTTTTTAATATACTTATTCTATTTCTTGTACTAAATTGTTCTTAGCTTTATCGGTTAGATTGGATTTTTTTATTTGGAATACATTTGTATGAAATTTAACAATAATTATTATTGAAATGCGCGTACTATTCAAGACTCATAACATGAGAAATTTACTTTTTCTTTCATTCTTATTTTGTCTTTAAAAGTAATGTATATAATGTAATTACTTATATTTAATAATTAAACACAAATAGACTTAGAATTTTGTATCACTTGAAATCGATTATTAACAGGTAAATTATATCATGTTTTTTAAATAATAGTGTTTTTCTATAAACAATTGTTTTATAAATTTGGAATTCATCGATCTGATACTATTTATATTAACTATAATTAAGCGTCCACATGTTACACAATACTTGGGTTGGTAAACTTTTGATATAATGATTGCCTGAGTGACAAATCTCAACACTCAAAATCGCACAATGCACATGGCTGTTGACATCTTGATCGATGATCAGAAGAAGTCACCTTAAAGACAAAAAATACATAGAATTTTCAATGAAACAAATCGTTTATCAAGTATATCATTTTCTATAAAAAATATTTCAAATTTTAGGCTTTTTTATTCAATAATAAACATTGAGAAAAACTTTAATATACTTTATGATAGGCTTAAACAATTTGAGAAGTATCATCAATTAAAACTGTAGCCATAGTGAGGCTACTACAAGATCTAAAAAACCAATCAATTTAAGCAAATTTTGTCACTCGGATACGCCGGATTTAATTTTGAAATGAAACACAGACAATCATTATTTAATTATCGTATTCCAATTAAAGTTATAACTTGGCAAGACTCATTCTCAAAAAAAAAATACGATCCAATTACACCTCCAGCCCATAATCCGTACTAAACAGTGACTGTGTGGGTTCATTGTTTTTTCATGAATAACTCGAGGATTTTCATTGCCTCAAATTCGACAATTAAGCTTCTGAACAAAACCATCCAAATGAAAATGAGCTTTATCGCTAAAGATAATGTTTAAAAACAAAACCTTTTTGAATAGTCTCCGCAAAACTTAATCTAAATTTGAAATTTGTTTAAAAAAACAACACATTTTTAATATGCGAAATGTCAAACATTAGAGTTGCCAACTTAAATACAAAAAAATGGAGAGAATTTTAAATTCTGCGTAGCCGATGGGCCACCAACATTTGGATTTTCTGCAATAAAAGATATATCAAATCAATATACTGCCAGAAATCTACAATTTTCTTTTGTAACATGATATATATAAATAAAAAATAATTAATTAAGATATTTTCACATAACTCAAGAATTGTTTACGTAACTTCAAATAGAAATACTTTATCCAAGTGCAAATATTTGACATTATAACTATTTTAAATTATTATAAAATGTCTGATCCAGTTAAGATCAGCGTTCTTCAATCTTGCAAAATAGTATGTTAATAACATAATTGTAATCTAATAGGATAGTGCAATAATCCAAATATATTTATTATTGTTTCCGCCAAATTCAGAATGTTTTCATAATCTTTAAACATAATTACATGGTATCAATTTTCGAGTGTTAATACTAAAACATCATTTCCAATTAATAAATTTCATTTTGTGAATGCAAACTACGTTCAACATACGAAGTAGCTAATATAGTTGAACATATAGTGTGTAAGAAATTTGAATGTGTACGCAAATTCCTTATTTCAGGTTATTTTAGATTATTTTCAAGTTTAAAAAAATATTTTTCAAAAATATACAACAAATTGCATCGCTGTCATGAAACACCGTAAACTACCAACTACATGTTATTGGCTACAGCGCGTTGTTTGTATTTGATTGACCTGCCAAAAGTACTTGCAGTAATTGTAAAATTTAATCGGTTTCCGAAATTTATTCCCGTTTCCCTTTACAGAGAGAACTTCAATTATGTAATTATTGTATTTAGTTTATATAATTTTATTATTTTAGTAAGGTATATTGGCGGAACTGATTATGCGCACTGTACGCATGTATTATCTTAAACGTATATTCTGAACCTCGGACTTTGTAGTTTACAATTTACTCAAACTCAGAAGATAATCAACATTTTCACAGAACTATTTCAGTATTGAGGATTGTTTATTTCCTCGCACTGAAATTTGATGTTCTTGGACGTTGTTCCAAAGCGGAATTGAACGTAAAGTTTTCAATAGTCCAGCTGGTCGAGGTGCGACTATTTTTGAGATTATGAAACTTTTGTGTAAATATTTTGCCTCTATTTTATGAACGCTATGGGGACCATTTAGTCACGGGCGGAGTGTCGTGATTCAAAGTTTGGCTCTCCCGCAGCGTTGTTTTTTTTTATACCATTTTCCCATGTTTCATTTCACTATTTTCCATTTTCCTCAAAACTTTCCCCCCAATTTATGACTCATACATTACATTTATAATGCCATCGGAATTTGCACCAAAACGAATATAAAATTATTTCATTTTTGATATTTTGAAGTAGAATTATTCTTGAACATAATGCAGCACATTATGTCTACTTGAACTTGACTTAATACCAACTACACTACGATCTGAAATGATGATAACACCTCACTCAATAAGTTCGTAGGATGACGTATCAGCCTCTGTCGACAAATCCATATGATTTTTAGGAAGTACCTACCTTCAGACCACGCCTGTCATAATTTCGTTACTTTTGTAATTTTCAAAACAATGGAAAAATATTAATTGTGTGTATTATAAAACATTGCTTTTTTATCGAAAAAATACAGTACAGACATGAATTATATAAAAAGCACAGCAGATCTACTTAAATTTGACTTAATACCAACTACACTACAATCTGAAATGATGATACATCATTAACATAACAAGTTGAATTCTAAATTAAAAAAATGTATTGTTATAGGGTGAAACTGTATAAATGTAAGTTGGAAGTCGTCAGTTTCAATTGGTTTGCGTAGGACTGTGATTTTAATGAAAGCGAAAAAAATATTTTTGGCTGAACGTCCACTAAACAGTGAGGAATGCGTGTGAATCATTTCCACCGAGTACGCAGCAGACAGAGACAGAACAATATAAATGGGAAAGGGTAAAAAGACGAGCGAGAATGAAATTAAAACGTTCGATATTATTTTAAGTTTAATCATGTTGGACTATTTATCATTAGTTGTTTGTGTTACTTAATTCTTAAATTAACTGGATTTTCTATAATGACAATTCACTAATGTTTCATAAATTTATTTAGTATGATTGTTTTTTTTTTGTTTATATAATAAATATATGGACTAACTTATTGAAATATGAATTGTTGAGGTAATCGTTTCTGCCACTGTTTGAAATCGGATAAATCTAAATATATACAAAAATAAAACGCACAAAATCACAGTACATTTTTTTTGGAATTTTTTATTTATAATCGGATTATAGTGAATTTAGACTGATTGAAGTCGGATTATGAGAGGTATTGCTGTTATATTCATTAACTCATCATCCACTGAATATAGAAATACGTGCATTACTTAAGTTATCACTTTGTGTTA